GTGAGAGAGCTCTGAGGGACAGAAAGAAGAATGAGCAGAATATAGTAACTTATGATGTTAAAATTAAGCTTACATGTAAGTGCTTGTAGTTCAGCCCCCAGTTGACTTCTTTGTATGATGTTCTCTAACATGGGGTGGAGAGGTAACTGTCCTTAACTACTCTTCCTGTGTTGTAAGCAGGGAAGAAATGATCATGTCTCCATGGGATAATGAGTATCATTATGCTAGTATGTGTGAGTGGCAAACACCAAAGGTGTGGTGACAAGCCTTAGTCTGCACAGAAGCAGTATTTTGAGGAAAAATGGAAAATCAAAAACCTGATTGAGAGAAGAGAAAAACTTCAAGTCAGTATGCACATATTTTTCAGTAGGCAGATACAGTACAAAATGCTGTTATTAATCACTGTACACCCTTTTTGAAGGTGGTGGGTGGACAACCTGAAACATTCAAAAGAAGATTATTTTCCAAAGAAAATGACTTTCCAAAGCAACCGCTCAGCATGTGCGTGATTCCGAGATTGGAGTACAGCAAATAGTAGAAACCTGTTACCTTTTCAAGCATCCCATGCATGTCTTTGTTTTGTATATCTGGCCTTTCTTACCAAGCACTAACCATGCAAAAAGCCTTTTACAGTCTTTCCATTGCCTGGCTCTTCAGAGGGAGATGTCCATGGGAGAACAAACTGTCAGCTGGTGTGCGTATCTCAGAAAGGTTTTTGCTCTTCTTTCCATGCTCCCACTTACCTGTGGAACAGTGTTCTTAAAACTAAGCCTATTTTTAAAGCAGTTACAATCTTCTCATTCACAGCTCTTAATATCAGCTGGGGCGGAGAAATTCTGGCCAAGAGCCGGATCTCGTCTGTCAGAATAATAATTCTGGCCTGTAGCTTGTTGTCCTTTTTCAGCTGGGGCTTCATAAGAGGAATTCAGGGAGGCTGATGCAGTCCAACTGAATTGTTCTTCCAGTCCTCTCCCAGACAGCTTTCCCTAGGCATGCATCCATTTTCAGTCACCAGATTGAGTACACAGCTGTCACACAGTGAAAATGGAGCTGTTTCCAATTGTGTGATTAGACATGGATCCATAATACACGATAGTGATTCCAACAGTTCAGTACTGTGGTAGGTTTGTATACAGTTGCGTGGTAGACTCATATAGAGTTGCATGGCAGAAAAGGAATCATAGCTTCTCCAAAGCCTACAAAAGCATCAGTGTGACCATTTATATGAAAGGTTCTCAATCTGCAGATGGAGAAAAGCAGTCTGGAGTGTTTTTCTGTGGTAACCTTAGGAAAGCGATAAGTAGCAATTGCCGGTATAGTCAGTAAGGAGGGATGATTGCCTTGGGCTTTTGTGCCATATGTTGAGTGTGCTGCATCTCATTTTTTATCTCCATATAATAATCAAAATGCTGATTTCTGATGAGGTAAATGTCAACATTAAGTAAAAAAGAGCATGGTATTTCAAGGTCGGGAGTTTCTGTCAAGAAACTAGTTTTTATAAATGAATACTTTAAAAGGGAAAGTAAGTATGATTAATCTGTATTTGTAGCATCATAGAAATAATAGCCAAGTTTAGGTTGAAAGAGATCTCTAGTAGTCCTCCTCCTGCTTGAACCAGGGTTAATGTCAAGGTTAGATGAAGTTACTCAGAGCCTCATCCAATTGAGGTGTACATATCTATCAGGATGGCATTTCCACAGCCTTTCTGAGCAGCCTGTCCCAGTGCTCAGCCAAATCTTGCTGAAGAATTTTTTTCCTTGTATCTGGAATTTCCCATCTTGCTGCTCTTGTCTGTTCTCTGTTGTCCTTTTATTGAGAAGAGTGTATCTCGGCGTTCTCTGTTACTGCCTTTCAGGCTGTGGAGCACAGCAATTAAATCCCCCCTTCTCTTCCCCTTCTCCAACCTGAACAAACACAGCCTCACCAGCATCTCCTCCTGCACCCTCTGCTCAGCCCCCTAATATCTTAGAGGTCTTTCCTGGTCTTTCGCCAGTTTGGCAGGGTGTCTCATACTGGTGGCCCCAAACTGGTCACAGGTCTGCAGATGCAGATGTGGTTGCTGAGGAGAGGGGAAGTCACGTTCCACCGAGGGGTGGTAACGTGCTTGTTATGTACAGCCCAGTACGTGGTTAGCCTGCATTACCGCGAGAGCGCACTGCTGACCTGTGTTCAACTTGCTGTCCGTCAGGGTCTCCACCTCCTGATTTTATGACAGTGTCAGCAACTTAGGAGTTGGATGCTGGCTGGTTTTGTGTACCTACAGTTGGGTGCAAAGTGTCGGTAAGTACCGAAAAGTGCTCAGGAAGTCCAAAGCAGCAGTGCATTGCCAAAACTAGTTCTCAGTACTAGCAGCAGAGACCTCCTCTTTTGGTGGCACTGACTCAGTAACAGGACTGCATGTGCGTTCTGGTGCACCGTAACTTTGGGCATCAGTTGAAGGAGCAGAAGAACTCTGATACAATCCAGAGGTGTCATTGCCCTTCTTGTGGCTATTTATGTGCTTATTACTGTATTTTTAACGCTGATTCTTTTACTTTATGGTAAAAACCTAGGTCAAGGATTTATTCTTTTATAAATAAGGCCCAATTAATTTCATTTATCTTGCACTATGTAGCCAGTCCATCCTACAAATGTCTAGGAACCTATTACCAGGTTGCTACAGATGAACCTGTGAGACATTGTCCTGCATGAATGCTAAGAAGTATTATTAGAGATACTTATCGCAGCACCCAAAAGGCAAGGCTGTCTCTGGGCTGTCCCTGTGTGCATCTGAGTCAGAAGTTTCTTTGTTCTCCTTAAAGAGTCCTTTAAGGAGAGTCAGGAAATCAAATGTCCAAGATGCTGCAGCTCCAGCCCATGCTGGGCGTGGAGTCAGAGCTATACAAAAAGGAAAAAAGAAGCAGCAGCACAATCTTGAAAAGCTTGGTTTCTCTTGAGCAAAAGGGTGGTGTAAGCACCCAAATCTGTGAGAGCTTGCAGCTCTTATTTTATACAAACTGATCTAAAATTCAGTGTATCCCAGTGGTATGCTTACTTCTTGTGCTTCTCTATGAACAGTTTTACAGTTTTTCGAATTTAATCTTCTTAGTCCCACACAGACATATCGAGCTATTAATACTTCATTTTTTGGGACAGAAGCTATATTCTTTTGGAGTCTATCTTTGTGGCTAAATTCAACTACATTTCCATTGTTCTCCAGAAATCTGTGTTAAATAGCACTGAGTTTCTTGATGTCCTCAGAAATCAGCCCCATCAGTGTGTGTTCTCCTAGGAAAGCTGGTCCAGCTCTTCCAGTGAATATATTCCCATGAGATAGAGGGGACACTTCTCAGTCTCATCTCAACAGAATAAAAATATTCTCCATGTTGTGTTTTGAGATCTCTACCAGTGATTTCTTCTAGCTAGTCTAAAAATTTCTTCAGTTTAAACACCTGGTAATTTATGAAGTCCTTCCGATTTTTTTAAGCTGTAAAATGAAAACCCTCAATCTTGAGCTAAGAGTAGAATAAGAAAAAAGTGAATGACTGTTTATTAGTGCTAGTGACTTTAGAAATTAAAGGCCCGTTCATAGGATCAACAGAAACGTCAACAAGGGGCATTCTTGCTTTCTTGGCTGTTGTGTGTGATTGCAATGAATTATTTTGGCTGTAGCCTACTTGGATGACACTGCAGTTCACAGCTTGAAAAAGTCAAGTGCCCATAAATAGGCTAAATTTACAGGTGATTTAACAACTCCAGGTTACGAATTGGAACAGAAAAGTGTCTATTTTCAGGAGACAAATATTTTATAGTAAGTGTTCTAATGGAGTGAAATCCCATCCTAGAACTATGCCAGGAAGTCTGCCTGATTTTTGGAATGATTTCTTGGATCAGATATTTCCCATGGTGTTGGAGATAGAAAATAGTTTGATGCTTAAACTACCTGGAAAGAATGAGATTCCTGTGGCTGCTGGGGTAATTGGTGATCCAGAGCAGAAAGAGAATAGTTTAACAAATTAGGCTAGATGAATCCATGTTTGTGCACACGTATTTCAGTGCTTTGCGGCTTTTAATATGCATTACACCCGTAAAGAGACACTCAGCTTTGTCCTGACCTAACACAGGGTTAGCATCCCATTGAGGCCTTGCGATGGCCTGAAAGGATCAGTCATCATGGTGGCTGTTCTGGATTCCTTCATCAATGTCAGTCTTGGTATTTTACCCTGTGATTGCAGTATTTACTTTCTTGACTTCTGATTCAACAAAAATACCTTTTTAAAAACTGTTCTAGATTTAGAGTCATCAAGGAAGCTCTACCTGTTTGCTAATTTCAAGTGATTAATTATAGTTACAAATGGATTTTATTTCTGATTCAGACTTCTTTATTTTGGTCCCCAACATGCACTCTGACATAATTGGCCTTCAGATACAAGCGTAGCTCTTTATTACATATTTAGAAATACCTCTTTCTCAGCTTCATTAACTTATACATATTTAACATGATCAAGAGACAACACATTAGTATGTAAAAACATGTTTAACGTCATCTTACACTGATGCTCCTTCACGCCCCCGTGCAGCCAGTCTGTTCAGAATCGCTTCCTTCACAGCATGACCGAAATATTCCCTGGTCAGCGGGGGGAGCCCTAGGGGTTGCTGGGGAGGGACCACAGTTCCACAGCCCTTGTCCATCTCCTTTGTTCGTCCTGGTTGAGCAGGCAGAAATTCCTGGGTTTTGGGCGTGCTGCCTGTTGCCAAACCTCCGGCCTCTCGTACTGACGGGGTGTGCTGGGGGCTGAAGGTGGGGCTCTCCCCAGAGCCTGGGTTTACGCTGTCGTTGCAGTGCAGGAATGATGGTCCCCAGGTAAGTGGCCTCTCCTCAGTCTCGGATCCAGTTGTAGGCCTTGAGCTTTGAATGGTAATTTGCTCTTGGTTCTGAGATAGTTGTGATGTTTTGCTGACATCTTAAGATTAAAAACATTATTTCTGAAATACCCATAAATATGTCTGTTATGTTATAGGCTTTTGAGCTAGCGACTGGAGATTATTTGTTTGAACCACACTCTGGTGAAGACTATTCCAGGGATGAAGGTATGAATCTTTTGAGATATATGAGTTTTTGTATATTTTCGCACTCCTTTTAAGTTTCCAGTGAGCGTACAGTAGGGTTAAGTTTTGTATTTGAGTGAACTGTTCATACACGTTGTTTTCAGAATATAAATATGATTTTTTTCTTTTTAGTTTTAAGTTCCATCACTAGCAATGGGTGGGCAAAAACTCCCTTCTGCAGATACTCATCTACTTAACAACTGCCTGAAGGAATTAAACTGCCCTTCTTGTAAGATTGCATATGTGTGGAAACCTGGTTGAGAATAACAACATTTTAGTTTAGAAAAGAAATGACAGATTTGAACTTTATAGTATTTTCTCTTTATAAGAGTGACACTGGAATAATGTTTACATTATGTATTTTTATTTGAATTAGGCAATTACTAATTTTTTTTAAAATCAGAATTAACTCCTGCTTCCATCTATATACCTGTCCATTTCCATGCTTGTTTGCTTGTAAATGCTCTTTGCAGTGGTAATGTGGGCATCATTCATTGTTCCTAAATGCTACTAATGATGCCAGAGCTCTGCTGATCCTGGAAACCTCTGCATGGATTTGCTGCAAACATTGTTGATTTGAAACTATTTCTGATTTTTTACTAATTCCAGTTTCTTTCCTCTTCTTTTTTATCCCATCCTTTCCCTGCCCCTTCCACTCCCGTATCCTTTTTTTCTCTCCCTCATAGACCACATAGCACACATCATAGAGCTGCTAGGCAATATCCCAAGGCACTTTGCTCTATCTGGAAAATATTCTCGGGAATTCTTCAATCGCAGAGGTAGTACCTCTTCTTTTTGAAAGGTGCCGTGATGCAGACAGAAGTGGAATTGCTGTTGCTGGTTTTGTAGCATGTCCCACTGAGGAGCATTTACTGAAATCTCACAACAAAAATTTCTTTTTGAAAAACAAAATACACAGGAATCTGTGGCAATTTTTTCTTTTTTTAAGCTAAATGTTCTGAAAAATAACTATTGATACATTTTAAATTACATAGCAAAACTTGTTTGTAGCAGCTGATACTCAAATGTTTGAGAAGGAAGTTTTGCTGAAAGTATCTTTCCAAATTAGCCACTGAGCAGTGTGCACGTGTCTTTTTTGCCAGGATCGATCTATTTCTGTCTGTACCGGGCCAGTGTTAGTGTGTGCATGCAATGTACTGATTAAACTGTTGTATGTTTCTGTTTTGCTGGCAATGTTCTCCAATGCAGACCACATAGCATTGATCATTGAACTGCTGGGAAAAATCCCTCGAAAATACGCTATGTTGGGGAAATATTCCAAGGAGTTTTTCACCAAAAAAGGTAACGGTATTTATGCAACACTAATTTAAAGCATAATGCTATCCAAAAGGAGAATATGTTCATTTATGGGTACTGAAGAAATACATCCATTTAAATGGAGAGTTCTTACTAAAGAAGAATTTTGGTGTAAACTTGACTTTCTGAGAAAAGCCACAATTTGCAGTATTCATTTCAATATTTCATTTAAAATTCATTTTGGGATGTACTCAACAAAGTGTGGATGTTAACAAATGTCTGTGTGAATCTGTTGTCCAGTGTTCATGTAAATGTATGGAATCAAGTGATGCATAGCTTGTAATGTGATGGAAAATCATCTGTCAGCTGCTTTTGATCCTATATAGTGGTCCAGCGAATGCTACTGATAAGGAATAACTGGAGTGGGAAGGGAATACCTGGGCAATAGATACACAGCTGCGTGCAGTCAGTCCTCACACTCGTAACCTCACTGAAGAGAGAGCGTGCAGAAAAGATCGCTCTGTGACAGAGCGGTGGAGAAAGCTGCTCTGCTGTGCACTGTGCTGTCTCACTTCAAACGCTCTGAATTACCGTAATGCCTGAGCGCCACAGCCATAGGCGATGACTTAGCTGTGTTTGGCATTGTTCAGAAGTGCAACCCCTCTAAAAATAAAACCCTTGTCAATTGCTGTAAGAAAGTAATTAATCTGAGCAGACGCACTGGGCCTTACAGTTCTTTTATCTTTTTGTACTTTGTCTTTGCTCAGGCTGCTCTTTAAGACAGGCTTTTGACACGTGAGGGAATGCGGTCATGCTTCAAGTGTCTGTTGTCCCCTCGGTGTATGAGACAGCACTGTGTTGTATCGAGGGACAGGGTATGTCAGGAGCGTCCCGTTACGTGGTGGGGGATCATCTGGGGCCATCGACCGCAGCTGGCAAGCGCGCTTTCCTGCCGAACAGCGCCGCGGCTTCCCCCTTGCCCGTGACTCCACATGCCTGAGCGCACAGCTTGTCGGCAGGGCCAGCGCCGGCCAGCCGACCAGCTGCATCGGGCACGTGGGGTGCCGGGGGGGCTGAGGCGGCGGCGCTGTGCTGTAGGAGGTTGGGGTCATGAGGCAGGAGACAATCCAGCGATTCATCCCCCTTTGCATGAGAGCCGCCTGTTCTGTGCGTGGATATTTCTGGTATGGCAGGGACCTCTGCATGCCTTCGTTGCCTGCAGGAGGATGTAACGGCGTCAAACATGGTGTGAAGAAGGGCAACAGTGATGATCAAGGAGATAGAGCAGATGCCATTTGGGGGAGTCTAAAACGCCTGGGGCTTTTGGGTGTGGAGGGGAGAAGGGTGCTGGAGGAATAATGAAAGTTTACAAAATTGGGAAGTCAGTGGATAAGCTGAAAACAGAGCTGTTTTTGCCAGCACCTGTCATACGAGAGCTGGGGGACACCCAGTGAAACTTGGAGGGGGTGGCTTTAAAACAAGAGCTTTCCTACACAGCAGGCAGTGAGCTTCAGGAGCCTGCTGCCATGGGGCTCGTAGAAAGAGGCTGTATCAGCAGGCTCAAAAACAGTCTCGTGTTAACTGAGATGAACAAACTGAGGGCTGACACGTCGTAAATGTACAAAGCAGTAAAAGGCTGGGCAGGAGGTACCCTCCGGCACCCCCCAACAGGGATCGCAGCTGCTGGAGTGAGCGCAGGGCCCGCAGAAGGGCTCCTCTGCCTGCCTTCCCTATCCCTTCCTGTGGCCGCTGTCAGAGGCTGGTACTGAATTAGAAAGACCCCTCAGCCAGACCCCCCTTAAAGCATATCTCATGTTCCTAATTTTCACTTTACACCAGATGGGATGGCATTTTCTAGTGATGTCATAGAACCTTAAAAAGACCTAACAGTTTTACAATAACCACAGTGTTTGTGGCACAGAGAAGAGGGCACTTTGTAAAATTCCCATGAAGTGAGAGTTTCACGTGCTTCCATGAGCATCTTCCACTGCAAAGTGTCACTGTTGTCCTCTAGGGCCTGAACGTCGGTGACATTCCTCAGAGGCACCATCTGCTGTGGCTCTGGGTGGGATTTAAGCACTTTAAAAGACTTGGTTCACCCACCACACAAAATGTAAGCGCACACTTGCTGTGGAAGCTTAAGTAGACTGGATCCCACCTGTTCTACTCAAAACAGAAAATCTCAAGTGCAAGACGAGGGAGTAATAGCCCAAGCTGTGTTTTCAGATCATACCAGTTACTCTGGTATGCAGGTCAGGAAAACTGGATTGCTTTGTGGAGGAAAAATGGAGGTGGTGAGTTTCCTGCTTACTTACTTGAGATTTTTTTTTTTTTCATTGAATTGGACACCAGATACCTTTTTCCTGGCCATCCCAGTACTGTCAGCCTCTCTGGAACCCCCAGGAGGTATTTGCATTTGATGGGCTGGCAGGAAATGGATAGGCTAAGTCGTTGGCCAGCAAGTTGCTGCATTTTGTACTCATCTGCTTGTGGCCTGAGCACCTGAGATCAGAGGCCATGTAGTACAGGCCTGAGGCTCTTCTGAAAATTTCACGCTGTGGTGTAAAGGAGGGCTTAGAAATCTGACTGTAGGCTTCTATTTTGAAAACATCAGCCTTGGGTGAAAATCAAGAAATCACTATTTGGGCGTTGCTCCTGTCCATAAGTAAGTTCAACCTCAGAGAGAAGCTTTAAACATTTGAATTGTTCCACTGAAGTCACAGGCACAAAAGGAAAGGTGTTGTCAACTAATGAGTTTACAGGTATGTGTTCCTTCTTAGTAATTGTCTGAAGCAGTTTGTGACATTCAAGTAGGAGGGTGCATTTTAAAAAAGGAAAAGAATTTATAAGTTACTTCTTAGTCACTATAACACACATGCTCACATACTTTTTTATATGGTCTCATCTTGATTGAGCCCAGGAATAACTCCACTGAGTCCTTTTCTCCAGTGCCTTCACGAAAGCTATTTTGCCTGTAAAAATGATTAATATCTATTAGCACTAAAACTTAAAACCCTTTTGTTTTTTTTCTAGACATGGTCCCTTTTCTTTTTCTTCTGGTATTTGCTATCCCTGTTTACTCGTGAGCTAAACCTGTGCAAGATGCTGGCTAAGTACTGGCTTTGCCTGTTGGAAGTTGTAACAAGGAAAAACACTGCTGCTTATTTACCATCCTGGAAGGAAGGAGAGGGCTCTCCTCCACCTCCCTCGCTTCCATGTACTGTACCATGGGGCCTCACCAGCAGTTCTTGTATTAGTTGTCGGGAGCATGTGCTCAAAATACATAGTAGCAGATTATATCCCACTGCTGCTTCCCCAGTCCTTCATGTCATCTGTTTCTTACTGTTCAAAAATCCATCCTCCTCTTCCCTGGTGACACATCTTAAATTTGTCTCTGACAAATTTCATAGACTAGGTCTGTTTTTTTGTATTACGGTCAGCAGAGAAGGCTTTAAATAGCATCTTCCCCCTGCCACAGGTCCTTCAGAAATTTCTTCCTTCTGACTCAACATTCCATTTTTCAGAGGGTCCATTACTGCCTCTGCTTTGGCCACAGGAGTTTTGCAGCTCTGACAACTCCATTGTCCTCTCTGGATATTTCCTGTATGCTTCACTATCAAAAATCTAAATAAAGAGCTTCTGTTAGGAAGTTTTCACTTACTATTACATTTTTAGCATTTCTTTGAAAATTCATATTAACGCCCTGAGTACTGATGCTGTCAAACCAGTGGGCCTGTGCTTTTCATTTTTCCCTTAGTTACAGGTACTGCCTTCCTGTCCTCCAACTATATGGTACAAACCTCACGAACTAGATGAAAATACATGTTGCTGGACACCTCAATTTCCTGTGCTGCTCTCCAGTGTTTTAGGATGGAAATGAGATGGACTCACCACATTAAAATAAATTATTTGAATTTTTTGTCCACCTCAGTTGCCTTTTACTTACCCTACTTTGATACCATGGTCAGCGTTATGATCTTTATTGAAAACCGAAGCCCTAGTTTAATTCTTGGCCACCCCCCCCACCCACCCCCACCCCACCCCCAAATTTTTACTGTATCCCATCTTCTTAAATGCTTTTACAATATTCACAGAATTTCTGGTGGAAAACTTAAGCCCTTAGTGCTAAAAGTTCCTCAGCAGGAAAACAACACAGAAAATATTGTGCTGCATGGGGTGTGCTGGTCTTCGCTTGGGTATTTCAGGTTGAGCTTCCACTTTACAAAATAAGGAGTATTCAAACAGTATGAACTCACCTTCCACAGTGACACCAGGAGACTCATCTTGCAATGTTACTTTGTACAATTTGAGGGAGGAAAGATGCCTAAAACAATTTAATTTGAATACAAAGGTGAAGACAGCGCTGTATGGAAACAGACTCTCCCAAAGCTAGTCCAGTTTGGTCAAATTATTATGGCAGTTCTTACAATGAATGCTGTAAACTGGGGAAGCTAAGGACACGGCCTGCCTTTTTTTTTTTAGCCTTTTTTTTGCTTGCAGTCAATAACAAGTCACTATTTTCTATTGCTCTTCGGCAATATTTGAGTTTATGTGTTCCTATTAGATAGTTGGCTACCTGTTCTTGTTAGTAGTCACCAATACACACTTTTGGAAACCTTCAAAAGGGTAAGATTTTTCAGCAGTTAATTTTCAGAGTTGCACAAAGATTTTAAAGGGCTGAGAGTAAGCCTGGAAATGAATACACTTCTCCAAGAGGTGCTGTCCTTTCATACAGACATTCATACAGACAGTATGGGCCCAAAGCAGAGCCCTTTTTTGTTTGATTTGTGGGTACTGATGAGACACGCTTGTACTGTAAATGTGCAGACATAAATCGGCAGGATACACCCTCTGCTTTCATTCGTCTCTGTCTCAGTACTCCTCCTACCCTGTGAGATGGAAGGAGGACAGTGGGCCACCGGTGGGCAGTACGTCTTGACTTCCTATTACCAGCAGGTCTCTTCTCTTTCTTTTGCAAGTGATCAACTGTTGGCACACTTGCTCTTTTGGGGTCTTTCTGGTAGCACTTAAGAGAGCTGCTTTTTCAAGTGTTGCACCCTGCCTAGAACCTTCTGCTGCCTCAGGCAGCAGGAGCGTGTCCTGCTGGGCCCGTGGCAGTTCTCATCTCTTGCATTCAGATGCTCAGACTCTCAGGGCACTCTGAAGACATGGGTTTCTTCTGCCCTGGAACTCTGTAGCCACAGGGGTGTACTGAAACTCAGACCAGCATGCTGATGTCTGATGGCATTTTATCAGCAGTAGATGACAGCCAGGGACAACAATCAAGTTGCCAAGCCACTTTGCTTAAAAAATGTATGGCCTGCATGCCGCCATACTGGAGGGTGGGTGTAGCGTGCTTGTGAAGCTATGGGTGAGTCATGTTCAGCTTCCAGTATTGAGTGAGAACCCATCACCTTCCTCAGCAGCTCGGGGGACATCGCAGAATCACCACAGGCGCCTCTCAAGCGCTTTTTGTAGCGTCACATGGAGACTGTCTGGCTCAGATACTTGCCTGGGAAGAAGGGAGATGGCAACGGAGGGAGGGAACAGCCAGAAGAGTCTTTTCTTCCCTGTCATGCCGGATGACCTGTGGATAGATCTGGATAATATTGCTGGTTTGAATGGCAGAAGGGCTCTTGCCTCCTTGGTTTGTTTTGAAACGCGTTGCCAGGTTGGCCGTATGCCCCTTCTTTGATGGAACTCAAATCTTGAAGCTGCTGCTACCGTTTGTGTTGGTGGTTGGTTGAAGGAGATGTTGGCAGCAGCAGGTGCTGCCTTCTCAGGAAGGATTCAGACCAAGCCTCTTGGAGGTGTTGGGAGATGGAGCAGAATCTCCGAGTGCCAAACCTCTGTGCTTGGCTTGGGTGGGAATGAATCACTGCTCTGCTGCATTGTCGCAAATGCCACAGTGAGGCACTGACCTGTGTTGCTGAGACCTCCTAGGATTGGAGCAGTTTTTGTAAAATTTGGGTTCGTTGGCTGCTAAGAAGGAAAGGCCGGTGGTGGTCTTTGCCCACGGCATGAGCATGCGTGTGAATGAGTGCCTTGGTGTGGAGGAGGCAGAATGAAGGCAGCAGGAAAAATCAGAAATTATGCATACAGTGGAGTCCAGGTGTGACATACAGTTTGCTGTAGGTATGATTTCTTGGTTTTGACATCGGACATACTCGTCTCCTTTGAGGACCTCAAGCAAGCTTGCAATGTGCTGCCCTTCCTAAATAATGATTCTCAGCGTGGTCAAGGTGCTGTGAATGCAGAGTGGGAGAAAAACAAAACAGGGATTAGTCACTAGCAGGGATAACGAGGTATTTTTCTAATGCTAGTAATATTTCTGTTTGCAGGAGAACTCCGACACATTACCAAGCTGAAACCTTGGAGTCTTTTTGATGTGCTTGTGGAGAAGTATGGTTGGCCTCATGAAGATGCTGCACAGTTTACAGATTTCCTGATCCCCATGCTAGAAATGGTCCCAGAGAAACGTGCTTCAGCTGGAGAATGCCTTAGGCATCCGTGGCTGAATTCTTAGCAGAATCTCCCAGCTGTAAAAAAAGCCAGCAACCACTTTCCAATGCATCGGACCTAAATGGTGACTGTCACAAATTCTTTAGCAGGATCACACGTGAGCTGGCTTCAATCCTCAGACCTTTATTTTGCTTGAGGTACTGTTTGACATTTTGCTTTTTGTGCACTGTGTTCTTGGGGAAGGGTAGTCTTTTTGTCTTCGGCTAGTAGTTTACTCACCCACTTTCTTCAGAAAACACTTAATGTGTCTTTAAGCATTGTTTCTTGTGTTGTGTGGCATTCAGATGTCAGATTTTTGAACAAAGGAAACTTCCCCCCATGTGTTTTGGCAAGTTTTGTAACTATTTATGAAAAAAAAAATATTTTAGCTGATGCATATTATATAATTTACAAGCGTAAGAAATCTATCAAGTCAGAACTGAGTTACGGCGAGGAATTGTACAATTTTATCTTCCGGCAAAGGGACGTCATTCTTGTATTATAGTGTATGTAAATGCACCCTGTAAATGTTTATTGCCATTTAAATATGGGACTGGGGACTCAACTTCAGAGTAAAGCGACTAAGTTTTAGAGAGCTTTATAGCAAACCAATTGCATGTAGTGGACTTTAAACTGCTTTAAGGAATTGTGTAAACTTTCTATTCTGTAGCAGTTCCCGTTCATTGGATTTTAAACAAAGTGGCTCTGGTTTACAGGATTTCATTCCCCAAACGGCACTTTAAAGGAAGGCTAGACTTCTTTCTAATAAAGTATGCATTATCATTTAGCACTCCCTTTTAGAACTTTTGCCTATTTTAAGTGCTTTTAAGAGAAGAAAAATAGCAATTTCCCTTACAATGTGATAGTGAAGACATGGTACCATATGGTGTTGCCTTTTTATAAGCACTGTAAGTTGTACTATACCTTAAGAAAAAAAAAAAAATTAAAAGTCGAGCATGAGAACCACTCTCTGTGTAGAATTACTGATCTTTTATAATAAAAGTGTGTGCTTGGCATCAGTTAAGGAAGGATATAGCTGCAGATATTTACAGTGCAGTGGGTCAAATAATCCAAGAAGCAAGATCATGCTCATTCCATTCATAGCTTTACATGTTTCTAAAACAAATTGCACTAGCTTTATTCTTTCCCATAACTAGACATACGATTACCTGTTGTAAGTTGCACGCAACAATTACGTGTTTCCTAGGAAAAAAAAAGCTGCATAGGCTGAAGCTTATAGGCAATACAGATTTTAGAATGTACAGTACGGAGGTGTGTTTTGGCCTCTTTTAGAAGTCAGTGGGATGAATGTAAGCTTACTTCTGATCTTCATGTAACTACGGTGCCACTTTTTTCTTGACTTTGTCCATATGAAACTTATTCACATGCCTTTGCAATAACTAGATTGTGAGAAGATAGCCCCATGCTGTAACAATAACCAGTTGTTTGAGGTGCTTGCAGTTGTCTAATTAAAGTGTTTTGTTTTTTCAGACAGTGTGCTGGTCATTGGAATCTTTGCTAGCCATGACTCTAACCGTTTGTTTGCTAGAGGTCTGTGCTGTGGTGGTGGGTGGGGGGGCTGGTTTAGCCTGGCCAAAGGGACAGGCAGCTTTCTGTGTTGATTTATAAAGTATGTCACCTGGTGTAAATCGGAGCATCCTGAAGGGTAATGTGGCATGAGAGGCTGTGTGGAAGTGGTTGCTAGGTGAAACATGGCAAACCCCCCAAAAAAGAGGATTTCGTGCAAGGTGTTTAACTACTATAAACAAGCGATTACCCCATCCCCAATAGGCTGGTGCAGCCATTCCTCCAAAAAGAAGCTGCAAAGCCACCAGAGCGTGACACACATGCACCGGTCGGGAGAAACTCACTCACCTGCCGAGGCCCTGCCAGCAGCTGGGTTTCAGCCTTCACCCTCCAGGCCCCGAGCACCTCACGTGGGAACAGCTTTTCACGGCCCCATGGACGAGGCTGGTGAGAAGGACGATGCCACACTGGACTCCAGAGCTAGAGGTAAAAATTATGTTCGGCTTCACACCTGGCCTAATCAGTCATAGTGCCTAATTGCTTCAACTAATTGGAAGCTTGTTCTTGAGTACATAGAGGAGACTAGCACTTGAACGAAACGCTGGTTCAAGTGCAAACCTAGCGAGGTGAGTAACCGTACAGCACCTGTTGCTTGGCCGTGGCGATACAAGGGAAAGGGGGGAGCCTCGCACAGTACTGGTCCTGTTGTGTGACCCAGCGTCTCAGCTCCTTATGCTGCTCCGAGACCTCACCCCCTACAGCGTGTATTTTATGCTCTCTTGTACTTGAATTGATGCAATGACCTACTTCATGGAGGGATGGAAGGGGGTCACGACAACCAGATCTGAACTTTGGGCTGTAGAGGGTGATGCAGGTTTTTTCAAAATTGGTGTCTGAGCAGTCACATAGCATGGGTTGGGTTTTCTTGCTGTTGTTGATGGCCTAAGCCCATGGTTCCACTCTGCTAGTGCAAAACCTAGTGTACTCCATACAAGGTGTGTTTTCCATAAGCCAGCAGCTGTCCAGGAAAGTACTATTCTAATAAAATCTTTAAGTAATTAGAGACAAATTAGAATTTAAAGTAGTACCAATTTTTTCTACATGTTTGTTAGAATTACCGCCTTTTCTCAGTGAGTAGGAACAGCTGCTTCCCATCCTCTTCCATGTCAGGTTTCCTTGCACACTGCTTTTCTTCACCAGTTCTGAGGTGGAGCCGTGGGGCACAGACAGGCCTGTTCGGGAGCAGAATTTAGAGCAGTCACTACTGAGGTACATGAGGTACTACTGAGGTGTGCAACACAGCACTGTTACAGCTGCTGCTGTTCAGCAGCAGGAAAAAACTACCTCCTTTTTTTAAAAAAAAAAAAGCTCTACACAATTGGTAACATTCCATACCCTGTTGTAGCACCACTCACTTGGGTCACCTTTGACGAATGGGAAGTGCTGCAGGGCAGGGTGGGCAGTGATGAGAAAGGCTGCATTAGAAATAGTTTAGCTTATTTTAAATGTTCTGGAAAGCATGACAAGGCTTTGGTCCCCAGGCCCTGCAGAGGGCTTGCAGATCTGCTAGAGGGGGAAAAGGGGGAATGTGCTACAGCGTGCAGGTGGGTAGGTGGTCTGTAACAGGGGTCAGAATAACAGGTCCGGTAACAGCTTTGGCACACAGCAGTGCTGGTAGGGTAGTACTGCGTAACGCATCACTACCCCGTTAACCTATCCGTAAACTGACGCAAGATCCTGCTCTCCTTGGAGTGATCTTTCCTCACCTCTAGACCCAGCAGGGAAACACCCCCGCCCCCCCCCCAGCCAGTTCCACATCTCTGTGCTGCAGCAGGGGACCCACAGCTGGAACCTGCAGGGATGTGAACAGCCTCAAGCAGACAGGGGCAGGGTGTTTGTTTTACATGCTCGAGGCCACTTCCCTGAAGACATACCACCCTTTCAGGACAAGTAGTTAAAACTGACATAATTGTGATTTATTAACATGAATTAAAATGCCCAACCAGTGCTGCAATGTGACAGTATATTAAAAAAAAAAATTAAAGATCATATACTGTACTACTTTCACAAAGATCACACTTTTTTTTTGCAAAAGAGACTTATTATATACAATACTATATCAAATGAAAGAAGCTTTAAGCAATTTTACAAGCAAAAGAAATACAGTATTTACAGCACTCGTCAGAGACATTAGAAACAGTCTATACATTAAATTACAATTTCTGCAAATAACTGATGAAACAAAATGCCATGTCCACACCAAAACTATAAAAATTTGTATTGCATTGTTTTCTATCTCTATGCACACAAAGAACTGTTGACAGAAGAAAATGGAAAAAAAAAATTGTTAGTGCCATCACTTAGCCTGTGTACTTACTTAATTACATATGTATAAAAGTAATATAGAAAACATTCACTAAATGAATTTAACTGCAACAATAAAATTTTAAAGATTATGCAGCATCAAACCTACTGCCAGAAATAACAGCTGGAATGTTCACTTACAAATAAAAAGAAATACCTAATACTGGCTTAACAGCACATTTTCAGGAATTTTAAAAAGCAAAAAAATGGAAAGAATACAATGAAAGAGCACTGGTGTTCGCTTTTATACAAAGTATCATGTACAAGCTTTAAAAAGTACCTTGAACAGGTACATATGAAATATACACAGTTTATATTACAGAACATTTTAAAAATGTTTAGAATTAAAGGGATCCATTTTAATGCCACCCTGAACCATGGTAGTTGTTCTGAAAAGTGGGCGGCACCTGTGCTCTGTGAATGGGGATCTGTCCAGGCACCGGCGACGCCTGCTGTGGCCCTTGCACTCCGTGGGGAAGGGTGACAGAGCCAGGGTGAGGGCAGAACCCCGAGGCGGTGGGTGTTGCGATACTGTTTGGTCCTTGAGGTTGGATGTGAGGACCCTGACCAGGGAGTGGGCAATGAGGTCCTGTTCCAGCAGGCTGATGTTGAGGTCCAGGTCCTAGCGTCGTGTGATGCGGGGCTTGTGGGGAATAGGAGGACACGCTCGTGTGAGCGTTCGAAGGAAAATGGGGAGGTCCTTGATGAGAGGGGTGGTGTAACCCTTGTGCTGATGCTGGGTGATGGCCCGAGCCGATAACGTTGGTGGGTGGGGGTGGAGGCGGGGGAGGTGCCGAGTTTACAACATGCTGGTGTTGTGCTTGCAAACCTTGGTGTCCAGTCGAAGGATGGGGAGGTTGGTGGTGCGGGAGAGGACCCGGTGGTGGAGGCGGCGGTGGCAAATGGTGACCAGCAGCTTGAGAATGAATGTGCGATCCAGGAGCTACCGCCACGGCGTGAACCGGACCGACGACGTGTGCTACAGAGTGCTGCTGATGAGTACTTTGCTGCTGTACAAGGTGAGGTCCCGGAGCAGGTGGTGGGGGAGGAGGAGGTGGAGCAGCAGACGCCGACGCCTGGTGATGAATACTGGGGTTCTGAGACGGCAAAAAATGCCCTGCAGTTACGTGGTGTCCCGGCACCGTTGGCTGACCCGCGGTGCCAGGAAGTGCTTGGTTTGGTCCAGATGAAAACACAGTCTGTTGGGGTATGCTGCCCTTCAGCTGACTGTAACTCTGAAAGTTTCCAGAGGGCTGCTGGCTTTGATAGTAAGTAGAAGAAGGGGGTGGGGGGGGCGGGGGAGGTGGTGCATTGGTGTTCAAATTTTGTTGGTTAAACTGGCTGTAAGAAGCTGAAGATTGTCCTGAAGTTGTCTGAGTGAACAGGGGTCCGCTGGCCTGCTGCTGATTACCAGGCTGAAGGGTCGGTGCTGCTGGATAGAAGTTTCGGTGCGTTTCCCTCTGGGGCGTTCCAACTTGAGGTGACTGTGGATGATGAGGTCTGTATGGTGATCCCAGCTGCTGCGAGTGAGGCTTTGGTGAAAGGTAACCGTGCTGCACAGGTGCGTGAGGCGTGGAGGACTTGGGAGGATTTTCTACATGAGGCGAAGGGGGGCAATGCAGCTTCAAAGGTGCGGAAGGCAACTTCTGTGAAAGTTGCTCAGCAGAACTGCGCAAATGCGATTGAGATGGATGATTTTTTGAAAGTGCTTGGATGTTGTTTGTCAGCTGTTTCTGTTGCAGCTCAGATTTTGGATGATTCGCACATTCGGCCTCAGGTGCACTAGCTGCAGTTTCCCAGTGCGAATCTGGTTTTGTGGGTGTTTTCCCAAGCAACTGCGTTGAAGCTACAGGACTCGGTGAAGAGGGCTAGAATGAAAAGATAGTCAGTCAGTGCGAAATGTTCAAAATACTTGACTATGCGTGCGTTAGAATGAACAGAACTTCTCAGAATATTGTTCTCTCCCCTGATGGTGAAAAAAAGTGTTGAGTCACAGGATATATATTTGGTATAAGAAAAACAGCAACAACAGAAAGCTTAAACTTAGGAAGACGCTATTTTTAGCAAGTATTTATCAATCACTCTTCAAAGTCAAAGATGAGCAAGTGTATTTTAAAGTAGTAACAGAAATATGATCCATCAGGTTGGTCAGAATCTGTTATTTGTTGAAGTTTTAGATTTCTGAGTCCAAAAGAAATAAAATTTCAGACAGACCATTTACAAAAATAAAGCCGTTTTCGGAGTGATTTAACTTTTTAAAACTGGCATAGTGCCAGCAGACTAAACATTCCACCCTGAATTACTTCATTTAATACTGTACAGGCAGCTGTTCAACGTCCTTCTCTGTATCAGTGCCTCTACTGACAAACAGTGCCAAACCCTGGCATGCCAGTTCTTCAGTATTCACCCTGCAGAACTGCAGTGATACTGAATCCACTGATACAATCTCTTCTGTGTCTAGAGAATGTGAGATAATATATAAATAGGTACAGCTACTGAGAGAACATAAACCAACTTTTTTGTGTGTATGGACTACCACAAATATTCTTACAAATGTTTACTTATGTTGAATTATTACACAGATAGATGAACATGTATG